CATGATCATGAACATGAAGCGTCATCAGAAACATAATGCGGTCCGGTTCGCCATCATCGTGGCCACTGCGTCCATCACAAACGGGAGAATTATCGTTGTACAGATGATGATGTGACGTGGTATTAACATGTTATGTCTGTCTGTCTGTGTCTGTCTGTCTGCCTGCCTGCCTACCTGCCTACCTGCCTACCTGCCTCCTGCCTGCATGCCTGCCTGCATGCCTGCCTGCATGCCTGCCTGTGTGTCTGCCTGTCCATCTGTCTGTCTGCTGTCCGTCTGCCGGCTACAGGTAGGTAGGCAGGCGGGCAGGTGGGTAGGTAGGTGGGTGGGTAGGTAGGTAATGACTTGAAACCAATGCTGTGGGTTGCGATGAAGGCGAACGAAACAGCCCCAAGGACTTCGAAGGAACGGAAGTAACAAGCATTGTGACAAGCATAGACTGAAGAGGTCGGCTGTTGAATTGGTTAGGTTGAGGTGTACTTCAACGGCCGTGATGACAGCTCTACATTTCAACATACTACAACCCATAAGCCGGCTCTCGGTATCTGCACCATACCCGAAGTCCCAAATCTCAACAAGGTCAACCCTTATTGAGACTCCTAATCAAGACACGTCGCCACCTCAACACCCCGAAGTCCAAAAACCGCAGAAAGCCTGAAATCTTGAGGTGCCTGTTTCTTTGGGTATAGATGGCTCGGCGGGTTGGCGAGCCTTTCCTTGAGGCAAGGTCTTGAGCCAGCAGCGCGGAAGTCCACAGGCTCGCTCGAGCAGAAAGTGGTTCTGTAACGACTTAAGTTTTTTTTGTATTTAAATAGGGACGTCGACTTAAGGTTTAGGGCTTGCGATTTAGAAGGGTTCTTCGATCAGTACAACGCATCGCGGGCAAGGTTGGTTGGGCAGTTCCAACGCTGAAGGTCTGGACTTCTGTGTCTGTCGGGCTTCAGGTCTTTAGCTTTGCGGCATTAGCATTGAAGGATCGTTGTCGTCCTCGTCGTCGTCATGGTCGTGGTCGTAGTCGTAGGCATAGTCGTGGAGGCGGCTTCGGTGGCTGCGGTGGTTAATAGTAGGCAGTGGCAGTTGCAGTCGCAGTACCAGTAGCGGCAGGAGGAGGAGGACGAGGAGAAGGAAGGGAAGCACAAGCCAAAACACCATGAATGCATTGTGCTGGTCGCAGTGAGGGCCAAAGCAACAACCCTGGCACGATTCTACTGCTAAGCTCTGCCTATACTCTCCTTAAGCGGGATGTGATAACGAGGGCCATCGCAGTGGGGATTAGGAACCAAGCATCGTCAGCAGACGGAAGATGTAGTGGTGCATGAGGAATATAATATTATACCCGTAGGCAAATACATATCAACAGAGAAAGATGAGTACTGCATAGACCCTGAGTCCTGAACGCTAAGTAAACCGTAAACCCTCGAACACTAAAATCCTACAGCCCTAAACCCTACATCCCGAACCCCCGAACCTCCAAATTCAACCCCTAGCTTCGTCTCCGTGTCTACAACCTGCGTGCACGAATCACCGTTGACCACTGGTCGAACCGAGTTCCAAGGGGCACAAGGATTTAGAATTCAGGTGTGTGTCACACGCGGTATTTTGACAATTTCAGTGCGGAATCGATGCAAGTCGCCTCTCTACCTGCTGCTTGCCTGTACCGTCCCAGTCATGCAACCGAGCTTGGCAGTGGATCCTAAATACTTGGAGCCTCAGCGAAGGACCCATCCAGTTTGGGATGGTCTGGGCAAGCTTCAGGCGCATGCCCGCGAGACAAGCCATGTGGACCCTGAACCCTAAACTGCCGTGGACCCTGGTTTCCAACATCTGCCACTCAAGGTACCCGAAACACCCGACACTCTGGAGGAAGGTGGATGCCCCATGCCCCTTCTTGCTTACTGGAGGTTCATGGGTAGTTATAAGTAGGGTTATAAGTCCCTAATATGGGTTATAACAATACTTACCCCACTTATAACCCCACTTCTAGCTACCCATGAACCTCTTGCGTATGATTACATCAGCTTCTGTCGGCAGACCTGGACAAGCTATCCGTGACTCGAAAAACATAGTGAGCATGACTGCCTCGTTAAACTTCCTAAGCCCTACATCACCCTACACCCCGAACCCTGAACCCAACAAAACTTGTAACCTGGCCTTTAATAAGTAGAATGGGGCGTTTGGGACATACTATAGTCTGACTATATTATAGGGGCTCAAAGGGGGAGATGATTACAGAAGCCTGCATTACTCGGGATGGTCAGCCAACAGACCCTAAACTAGATGTAACTGTAACACTATAGAACAAACCTCGAAAACCCTGAACGGACCTTAAACCCTAAACGGAACCCACCAGAGGCTGAACTCGTCGGTCCCACGAGACGCTAGCTTAGCGAGGTCAGTTTCTGCAGGAAAGCATCAGAAGGACTAAAAGAGCGGTTAAGGTGTACAGTTTTGTGTTGGTTTCTATTTCAGTACGAATGTAACGCGTCGCCCGGTGCGCCCGCACTTTTCCAAAGCGTTCTTTGAGAGTTCCTTGTAGGGCCTTGAAGGAATATATATATATATAATATAATATAATATAATATAATATAATATAATATAATATAATATAATATAATATAATATATATATATAATATAATATATATATATATAGAGAGAGAGAGAGAAAGAGCCTCAAGACTTACTTAGACTTAGTTTTGGTGTATATTACGACATGTTCGTAAAGGGATATTGCGAGTAGGCTAGTACTGTACCTATTACTTCGTCATTTGTACCGCATTCCTCATAGCTCTTTGGTGTCTTGTCAGAGACCAGAACCCTCTTAAGGGTCACAGATGGTAGCAACTTCAGAACACCTCTTGAGGGTCACAGATGGTAGCAACTTCAGGGCTTAGCGTTGAATTTGGGGATGTGGGGTTTTGGATTTGGGAGTTTGCGGGGCGGCTCTGTTTCCTGTTGAGATTCAACTTGCAGACGCAGATCCTGATGCGCTCTCCACAAAAAAACTTCGAAAGCAAGCGTCAAACTTCCTGACAGGGGCAAGCCCGTGCCGTGCTGGAAGCCAGACATACTAAATACGATGCGAACACATTTTTACAAACCAACATCCTCCAAAAACAGACTCAAGTTGATGCAAGAAACCGAAACCCCCAATCCCTATAAACCCTAAACCCTAAACCCTAAACTAAACCCTAAACCCTAAACACCAAAACTGCAAAGACGGCGCAATCCAAAACTAAGAGCAGGTCAGAACTGAAAACTCAAGAGGGCAGACCATCGCGGTCGCTCAGATGAATCCAGCTCCTCCATGCCCTGGAGTGCAGGGTTTAGGCTTAGGGCTAGGGGTTTAGGGTTTAGGGTTAGGACTAAGGGTTTAGGGTTTGGGGTTAGGACTAAGGGTTTAGGGTTTGGGGTTAGGACAAAGGGTTTAGGGTTTGGGGTTAGGACTAAGGGTTTAGGGCTTAGGGTTAGGACTAAGGGTTTAGGGTTTAGGGGTTTAGGGGTTTAGGGTTTGTGGGGTTTAGGGTTGCTGTAAACGCCGATTGGGACCCCTTTCCCTAAATCCTGCAGCCCTACACTGGTTCGCAGGTAGGGGAGAGGGTTCAGCACCGCTTCATGGTCGGGATTCAATCTAAGTTACCTGTTTGCATTTGCATGAGACTATACCACAATAAGACATCCTCTGTGACAACACGGACACGAATTCCGAAGGCTTCGGAAATTTCGGTTAATGGTTCTCGGCTCACCGTCTGGGGCTTCGCGCTTCGTTGTACGTTGAACCCACCCCGCAAATCCAAACCCTAAACCCTAAACCAAATGAACCCTAAACCCTAAACCGCCCTAAACCCTAAACCCTAAACCCTGAAGCCCGAAATCAGCGCGTGCGAGACTCCGGCTTCCCTAAAACTCAGCTTTAGAGATAATCGAGCCGCAATCCTAAGCAGCCGCAGCATTGCGATGGGCGCTAATGTAGAGGCCTTGACAGTTAGAATAGGGGTATGGGGATTCCTTGATATAATTATAGTACGATATACTATATACCCCAAACCCTATTATTTTCCTTTGAAGTCGAGGGGTTGGGCACTTCGCAGGCTGCATCCTTGCTGGACCTTGGGTTCTTCTTTCGTGGTATGTTATACTCTAATTATAACAAGGAACCCCCAAAACCCTATCCTGAGTGTTAAGGCCCCTATATTACGTATTGGCACCTGCAACGGGGCTTCGTCGTCCGGACTCCCAGGACACTGCATAGCCGGCCAGAAATGGCTAATTACCCCCTGGAGAAAGACAGCGGCAACACGGATGTTCATAAGTTTCTGGGGGGTGTTGCCTCACTTCGAAACCCAGAAATCCTAAACACACAAGCCGGAACCCTAAGCCACGAGAAAGTAAGTCTCCAAGTGCTGCTATGGCCGAAGGAAACACCACAAACACTACAGCAACGACAAATCGTTGACTGAAGACCCAAACCTCCAACCCCTGAACCCTAAACCCAAGCCCCTAAACCCTAAAACTCCCAAGCATTTATCTTTCCTAAACCCCAAACCCAAAAACCCCGAACCCTAAACCC